TTTAATAAGTTTAACATATTTCAAAACTGGTGTAAAAGCTATAATAATAGAGTTGTAAAATCAAAAACCTCGCTAGCGGTTTGACGTTTGCCGTAAACGTCAATCTTAAGGTCTCTATTGTGGCCACAAAACGCCGATCTGGTTTCATATCTTGGGAAGTATGTAGACGTCGTTTTGTTACATCGTTTTTAACTGGTATGCAAGCTGCCACACTCTATTTATGTTGTTTGGCAGGTACACATTATATTGCATACCAGTTAAGCCACAGTTAATAGAATACATGGTTTGGAGACTCGATGAAAGTACAATATAATTCATTAACTATGTTATTGTCCAGCTTTATGCAAGAATTTGGTCCTATCTCGTCACGTGTGTATTGTATTTTGGCTCAAATAACCAATAACAAGTTTGTGGTTGAGTTATCGTAACTTGAACAAATGCTCAATTTAAACATTGCTATTGGTTGTGCGGGAAAAAGTACAATACACATGTGACGAGATAGGCCCAAATTCTTGCATAAACCGAAACCAACATAGTTAATGAGTTATATTGTACTTTTATCGAGTCTCCAAACCATGTATTCTATTAACTGTGGCTTAACTGGTATGCAATATAATGTGTACCTGCCAAACAACATAAATAGAGTGTGGCAGCTTGGAAATAAACAACATAATCGCATCATTGAAATTTTCAAACACCCTTATAAATCTTCTATGAAAAATAGTGAAAATCCATAGTACGAATTTTCCAATAAAACCAATAAATCCATAGTATATCGATACCACATCCGTATGCGAAAATTGTATTTCCATACTATTTCCATACTAAGAATTTTGAAAATAAATTATTCCAGTGAAATTGCTAACGGCGCGCCTAGGCCATCATGTCCCAAATTTCTGGTAATGCGAGTAGTTCGAGTTAAGCGAGTTCGAGGGTTTCTACTGTACACTTACTCTGCTGTACCACTTTTTACTGTAAAAGGATCCCTCATTTGACCTACAAAAGATTCTGAGTCTCTAACCAAAGCTGAATTGCTCTTTTCTTTATTCTTTACGCCACCAAAACTGAGAGTGAAACCTGCAAAAATAAATCATTCAAAGTCACAGATGATATTAAAGTTCTAGTAATCTTAAATATGATTTTTGGTATGTGTAGTACTTCGGTAATTCTAAGCAGTAACGACAACAACATATTTTCAACAATATATTAAAATTATTTTTGTGTGTGTTGGTGTTATATCTACTCAGGTGAATATGATGTGTTGAGTTCAATATAAAACTGTATGTTATCCAAATATTAGTATGACGTAATACTGAGAGACAAATGCATGATGGGATTGTTGTGTTGTTAGTTGAACTTCCTCGTGAAAGTAACTTGCTGTACAAAACTACATTTGTAATAAACGTGAAAATAAAGAGTGATTTCATTACAAATACGGTGTTCTAAAGTCATGGCTTCAACAGGTTATGGGCCCAGCAGAGAATCACGCTGGTCAAGGTTGACTTTCGATGGAAACGAAAGCAATTACGAACTGTGGGAAGCGAAATTCCTCGCGCACATGAGGTTATTAAAACTAAAGGATACTATCCTGCCGTCTGAAGAAGAGGCTGACGCAAAAAAGAACGAAGAATGCTACGCCGAGCTTATACAGTGTTTGGACGACACCAGTCTGTCATTGGTAATGAGGGATGCTACCGACGATGGCCGAAAGGCTTTACAAATACTCCGAGACCATTATGAAAATCAAGGCAAACCAAGAATCATCACACTCTACACTGAGCTAACGTCACTTGAAAAAGCACTTCACGAGACAGTCACAGATTACTTAATAAGAGCCGAGAAAGCAATAACAGCGCTTAAGAACGCCAAAGAAACGTTAAGCGATGGGCTAATAATTGCCATGATCTTAAAGGGGCTGCCTGATTCATATAAACCGTTCTCGATACATGTGACCCAAAGTGCAAGTGAGATAACGTTCGCGAAGTTTAAGAGCATGTTGAGGAGCTTCGAAGAAACGGAAAAGCTCAACACCAAACCGAAAGTTGATCAGGTAATGAAAGCTGAGTTCCCTTCGCAAACAATGACATGTTATGGCTGCGGGAAAAGAGGGCATTTAGTCAGAGAGTGCCCTGCTAAGAGCGAGAAGAAGTGGTGTAACTATCACAAAAGTACAACACACTCGGATAGCACCTGCAGAAGTCAGCAAAAGAGCAAAGACCAAGCCAAACAGGTGTCGGAGAAAGAAAACACCTCTAAAGATGAACATTCATTTGCATTCAAAGTTAACGACGAAGCAACAGGGAAAACCAATCGAATGGGAATGTTGGTTGACACAGGTGCCACTTCTCACATTGTTACTACTGATATTTTAAAGCAAATAGACATGACATTTAAACCATCAAAACATTACATTGAACTGGCTGATGGCACACGAGCCAGTAATATTGCATTGAAACGAGGGGATGCTGAAGTGTTTCTGAAAGATACAAATGGAAAATGTGTGAAAACGGTGATGAAAAACGCCTTATATATACCATCCTATCCTCAAGATATTTTCTCAGTGAAGGCAGCCACATCAAATGGAGCCGAGCTTCGATTTGCCCAAGATACTGGTGAGCTAACCCTTGAAGATGGTACCATTGTTGAAATTGAAGAACATGGACGGTTGTACTATTTGACTTCCATAGACAGTCATGAGAACGATAGCGTAAGTGAAGTAGATAAAGTAAATCTCTCGTATGATATTAACACATGGCATGAAATTCTAGGGCACTGCAATTTTGAAGATATTATAAAACTACAGGGGGTAGTTAAGGGTATGAAATTCTCAGGTAAAATTGAGTCATCTAAGTTAGGTTGTGATACATGTGTAGAAGGAAAATTTGTAAACAGCAGGAGTAGGATTCCTGATGCAAGATCTCAAAAATTATTGGAGAAAGTGCATGTGGATTTGGCAGGTCCAGTTTCTCCTGTATCAAGAGAGGGGTTTAAGTACTGCATAGCTTTTACTGACGATTTCTTAGGAGCAGTATTTGTTTACTTTCTGAAATGTAAAAGTGAC